GGGGCCCCCAGGGGGCGGCCTCCTGCCTGGTGGGCTGGGCCCCCAGGGCGTCGGCTCCTGCCTGCTGGGCTCAGCCCCCCTGGGCCCCCAGGGGGCGGCGGTCCGGGCTCGTCTGCTCCTCGCGCAGCCTCCGCCCGGTCCCAGGCTCGTCATGTTTATGTCTCCTCCCCTGTCCAAAAGACGGGGCGAATCCTGCTGTTGGGCCGGACCCTGCGGGGACCCACGGTGTTCGCCAAGACCTGGGAACAGGACATGCTGGTGAAGCAGAACTTCAGACTTAGGAACCCTTGGAAACCAGGCATCGCCGCCGTAGGCTCTGCTCGGACACTTCCCCAGAAGGTCCCCGCCTGTAACAGCCCATGGCTCACTTCACCTTCACTCCTTTTCAGGTTTAACTGGTTTGAAATAGTAGGCGAAGCCAGGCTGGGCTTTGAACAAAGGAAATTTATCCTAAAGTGGCCCTGGACCTTTTTTATGGGGATACATGAAAGATGAAGTTTATGGTACAAAACTCGTAACCGTCAACGCCTGGAGGGAGCACAGATACCGCCGGAAATGGTCCTTGATGTTGGCAATTCCACTGCTTCCTGCTGTCAGCAGGGCCTGGACCAGCACGGTTACCAGTTGGAAAGCAGGCGTTGACAAAAAAATTATTCACTCTGTGGATCCTTTTAAATTTTGAAAATGAGGTGTGTGTTAATAAACACTGACGTTATAATCATTCAAAGTGCGTGTACAGTTTTTGGGGAGCCCTGAATACAACCATACTGCTGTGGGGAGTCCCAACTTTCGCAAGATTGGTGCAGAGCAGGTTTCTTTGTGAAAACACTGGTATTGACTATGGTGCAGCTACAGTGGTCTTGGGCACTGCCGCGCATTGCTGACCCGATGGTTGTATCCATGGAATATCACCAAGGAGACCTGACCTGCAGAGTGCCGTCAGCACAGAGACCCCGTCTCCCCCACCTAAGGGCGAGAGCCTGCGTATGCTGTGTCCAGACAGTGCTGGGGACCGACCTGGGTGACCTCTAACACTACGTTGGGAGGCTTTTCTCACTGTATACACCCAATTCATGTTCCCTGCCCCAGCATTCTCCACGTGCCAGCATGACAGTTTGGGATCGCATGTCTTCCTTGGTTTATACTTGGTGATGTGCCGACAGGCTGTCCTACTTAACCAGCCTTGTTTGAAACACAACATAAACAAAGGGTAACTAAAAGTCATCAAGTAGCCAGACTTTCTCTACTTCTGTCCTTGACGATATCACATTGTCTCCACTCTGGTCTGTGACTTCCTCAGTTTACTTTCTTATCTAAGAACGCTGATTCTTATACATGCACCATTCTTAAGTCACTGTGATTACGCCTGTTTGTTTTTTAAACATGGAAAGAAAAATGATGTGCTTAAGAAGTAATAAAGATGACCCCAAACATACATAACAATATAAAATACTTAAAAATCTTTCTCAATGAGAAAAAAAGCCACATTGCTGAAATATTTCAACCTTTCATTTTTTAATTTTTCTAATAGCACATTCTTTAAAAGTTAACAACTTCAATTCCAAATACAAGGATTAAATAATGCAAATGAAAAGCTGTCATTTTCAGGAAGCTATTGCCGAATTCCCTGGAAAAAGTACTCATAGAATTGAACGGAGGCAAAAACCCCTTAGAAAAGCTTCGTTTGTTGCCTGTAAAGTCTTCTTAAGGCCACGTTTACGTCTAGACCACCCCTTGTTTCCAGCGAGAGTTCCGCTCGGTAATGGCTTGTGGTTCCACAGTGTGTGTGTGAAAAGCATAGACTAAGAGATACTCCCGACCCCGCTCCAACCTCAGATTCCACCCTGAAAGGAAGTCCCAACACCATAACATTTCCCCTTATTTCCAGCAAGACACAGGAAAAGAAAACGCAAGTCCCACTTTAATCTTTACTCCTTTTAAATGGCACGAAGAGGCTGCCGCTCCGTCGGGGTACAGGCCCCAGAGGGCCCGATGTGCTTATCAAATGCCCTGCAGGTGCTGGGAGGCGCCCACCAGGTCTGGTCTGCAGACGAGGCATGGAGGCTATCAGGGCTCCCTTGGCCGAGTCACTGGTGTCTTCTCAGAAGCAGGGAAAGCAGCAGCTCCCAGATGGGACCAGAGGACAGCCTGTGAAAGGATGCCCCCAACCCCGGCCAGGCCCGTGCAGGAGAGCAGGGGCTCACTGCTGGGACAGGAGCGCACTCCTGTTGGCCTTCATTTTCTCCAGACGCTTCACTAGGTGGCCGTTGCTCACCTCCAGCTCTTCGGTTTTGTCCAATGCAGAGCGGAGCTGGGAACAAGGAGGAGAGGCAGCTGTGAGGCACTGGCTTTCAGCCCTACTGAAAAGAATTTAACCTGGACCACTGAGATCCCAAACATCCACACTCACATATGTGCGAATGCCTGTGTTTCTTTTTTAAAAATCCTCATCCGAGAAGTAAGGATATATTTCTTTTTCCATTGATTTTTTTTTTTTTTTTTAGAGAGAGGAAGGGGGGTGGAGAGAGAGACAGAATCGATGTGAGAGAGACACACTGACTGGCTGCCTTCCACGTGTGCCCTGACCGGGGCCAGGGATTCCACCTGCAACCCAGGTACATGCCCTTTACTGGGAATCGAACCCGAGACCCTTCGGTGCACAGGCCAGTGCTCTAACCACTGAACCACACTGGCCAGGGCTCCATGTATTTCTTAATTAAAAAAGGCTCGTGGCTCAGTGGTTGAGCGTCGACCTATGAACCAGGAGGTCAGGGTTTGATTCCCGGTCAGGGCACATGCCCGGGTTTCAAGCTTGGTCCCCAGTAGGGGCTTATGTAGGAGGCAGTGGATTTATGTTTCTCTCTCATCAATGTTTTCATCTCTCTCTCCCTCTCCCTCTCTAAAGTCAATAAAAAAAAAATTTTTAATTTTCCAAAATTGATTGAGAGAAAAGACCACAGAGCCAAGAAACAACACATCCCAAGCAGAATAAGTAACAATAAACCCACATATAACACATTACAGTGAAACTGTAGGAAATGAGACTGAAAACTCCATGGCCAAGCTCCCATAGCATCTGACACGAGACCTCCAGGGGTGTGGCCTGATGGGACAGTGGTAACCCAGTGGCCGACCCTCCACGGTGAATCCTCTCTCTGCTCACCCAGCTAGAACATCGGGACCCACTCTTTTCTCAGAAACAGCCCAGAGCCGTTACCTCTCTTTGCAGTTTCCGTTTCTCAGCCTTCAGTTCATCTTCTATTTTTTCTGCATTTTCAGCAGCTGATTTATAACGTGATACTTGACTCTCTAACCTTATTACCTAAGAGGAAGGAAAACCAGCTGCATAAATGGACTGGCCTGTTTTCTTCCTCAGTTGCTTTATTACATCTGAGATCAAAGGGTGTAGTTTAATAAGAAGGGAGAGTACACCAGGTAAAGAATTACAACCCAGCCTTTTTGACTGTTAAGTAGGTTCCAGCCAAGCAAACTATTGGTTCGTATTTTCGAGCAACCAGGGACTGACCCCTGTTAGGGACTTATTTCTCTCTGGCCCTAGTGCAAAGGTGTGGCTCCCAGAGCATTGACACCCTGCTGCCATCTCTCCCCTTTACAGGATGATTCTGCTGGAAAACGGGCCGGTCCAAGCAGAACAGGGCTGGGAAGCAAGGGCTCCGCCAGGCCCTCTGCTCCAGTCTGATCTCTCCCGGGGTAGGGTCGGGGGGCTGGAGGGTGAGGACAGGCAAGGAGCTCAGACAGGTGAGAGGAGGGCCTGGGGGCATCCACGGCCTGCCTCGGGCTTTCATTCTGCCGGGATCAAGGCCTGCTTCATAAAACTCATCACTCTCTGTGCTGTCCCTATAGAAAGTTCTACCACAGGCACACAGTGCGGGGAGAAGAGTACTTGCTGCGATAAGCTCCCTCAGGTTAGGACACAGCTCACCCCAAATTTGCCCAAGCATGCTAGATGCGTGAGTGCCCACAGCTGGGGGCCAGAGAGAGCTGGCCTGGCTGGGAAAGAAAAGCGGCCAGGCGAGAGGGACATCCCTGAAGGAAGCGGTTTTTAATTAAATTATTTCAGAAATTATTTTTAAAGAACAGAATTTTAAAAAACAACAAAAATCTCCTGGCCACATAAGCTACTTTCTACAGCTAACCATTTTTAAAAAATTTTAATTTTAATTTTTTTATTTTTTTTTACAAAGGGTATCAATTATACAACCCAAATTCCAATAAGGACCTTTCTTTCCCTACATTCCCTCTTTATAGGAAACACAGTGAGGACCTTTTTTGGTTCTAAAAATCTCTGTTGCTTTTTGCCTCAGCCTCCCGGGGGCAAGTCCCAGCAAATACAACGCCATTAGTCATCGTCTGCGCGCCCATCATCGCTGGCACAGGCACGTACATTTTGTTCTAGTGCAGTTATCTCCTGCTCAGATTTTGCAAGTTTAAATTTGAGGTCGCTGATCTGTCTGTTGGCATCCCCTAAAGGTTGAAAGAGAAGGAGAACTTGGTAAGCTCTTGGGCTTTTAAAATGTGAAAACAATAGTTACTGGGAACCAAGCCCTTACTTCGTGATCGTCTTGTAAACCTGTTAAGTCCTGGCCTGTGGTCCCCCAGCCCTCCTGAGCTGAGACGGGGGCGCCCTCTCCACCCACCTAGGCTGGAAAAGTGCTGGGGGAGAGCGCACTCGAGGGCAAAGATGAAGAGGGGGAGGGGGGCGGGGAGAGGCTGGGCCTCACTGTAGCCCCTGCAGCCCCTTTCTAGTTAGTTTACTGGCACAGGAAAATGCCTGCCAATTTCCCATACAATCGGCAGGCCGAAAAGTGGCTGGATCCAGCACAGTAACGGTGGTTTCCTGCAGCACGCCCTATGGTGGCATCTGCACGATTCGGGGCACCTGCTCTGCTTCTTAGGCTCACACAGAAACATCCCTGCCGGCCCACCTGCCCATCCTGCTCTATCTTACAGGGAACCGTCTCTGTGCTTTTATAATCAAGGGCGTCTGGCGGGGGGCGGCGTGGGGAACACCGGGGCGTCCCTCCCCACGCCGGCCCCTCCCCTCCCCCACAAGCACGCTAACATTGCGCATGGCAAGGCGGTGACTCCTGCATGGGGTGGACATTTACTTTGTAGGTCCATCACGTGCATGTCTGTCCCGTTCTCCAAGACGCCGTCCTCGGGGCGCAGCGCGTCCAGCTTGCCGTTCTTCTGCCTTTCTCCCAGCTGCCCTCTGAGTTTCTTAATCTGAAACACGCACCGAGAAAGGATGTTAATTCCTCTGTTCCAAACGAGACTAAAAAGCTGGGCCTAGAGCCCATCGCAGAGGAAACGGGTACAAAGGAGCAAATGCCCCACCGACAGAACTGGATGTTGCCTCGCAGTCAGTCGCTTCAGGCATCGTGTCTCAGATGCCAGCCGGCCAGCCAGCGGTTATATAATTACGCCCGAGAGAGACGCAGGAAAAGGCTACAGTCCACCAGGGAGATGGGCAGTCTCTCCCCTCTAACAAAGGAACCAGCACAAATGAGACAAACTAACTCCTGCCAGTTAGTACTCTTCTCAGAAGGAAGTACAGTGGATGAAAACGCAGCTCTGGAGACAGGTGTTCCAAGGCTGACATTCCTCTTGACTTCAGGAGACTGTACATAAAGTAGTTGAAATGTTTGTGTAGGTGTTAGCAATGCGGGGCGCTGCTACCCTCTGCCCTCTGCCCGAGGAGCCGGGAGGGCCGCCTGGAGCCTCCCGGGCACGGACGGGCTGGACCCGAGTCCCTGCCCAACCGGTGCTTCATCCTGGGATCTTATAAAAGATCACGGAACTCGGAAGAGACCCTTCCTGTCGTATTCAGTGTTTACCCAACTTTGAGGGAAATCGTCAATGGAATTGTAAAAAGAAAGGCAGAGCCCTGGCCGGTTTGGCTCAGCGGTTAGAGCATCGGCCCGTGGACTGAGGGGTTCCGGGTTCGATTTTGGCCAAGGGCACGTAACTGGGTTAGAGGCTCGGTCCCCGGCCCCGTTCAGGGTGCATGCAGGAGGCACCCAATCAATGTGTCTCTCTCACATCGAAGTCTCTCTCTCCCACTCTCTGAAAAGCACTGGAAAATAACCTCAGGATTAAATAAAAAAGTAAGGCAGGTCACCTGATTAGGCCTAAGTGGGAAACGGGAGGAATTTGGCGTCCGTGGAGTGACTAGAAGGACTGCATGACTATCCCACAGGGAAAAAGACCAGAGAGGACAACCGTTTAGTACTTCTTGAGAGTGATGAGGTAAACCGCAGTGACAACTCTGATCGGCAAACCTGCCGGAAAGGGGCACTGACCCCCAAGATTACAAAATGGACTTCGAAGGATCACTGGAGTCTGGACTGACTCAGTCGTGCCCTGGCCCCTCCTGGTTAACCTAGGCCTTCTGTGTAAACCAGGGGGGGAGTGTCTGGCTCATGGGCTGAAATTGTTTGGTCTGGCCCTGCCAAGGCAACCACAGGTGGGACTTGAAATTCAATATATCTATTAGCTTTTTTCATAGCTAATTTTTAAGTTGATAATTTTGTATGGCCCACAAATGATGTTATAAATATCCAAATGGCCCTTGGCAGAAAAAGGGTTCTCTACCCCCAGTGTAAACAGTAATGTTAGGCAACAGTTCGTGGGCAGCCTCCCCAGCTCAGCCTGTGGCCTTGGGCTCTGAGACCTCTCTGTCAGCCTCCTGACTTCAGGTGATAAAAATACCAAGAGCGGGGCTGGCTTGATCGCCATTTTCAAGCACGATGCATTTGGGGTCCTGACAGCCAGACGGAAGGATGGGGAGGTTCCTGGCACCAGGTGCCCCACCCAAGAGCTCGTCAAGCAGTGAAAAGGCAGTTACCTGTTCCAGCAAGCACTCCCGCTCGTCGACCAGCTTTCTCAACCTAATGTCTGGAGAAATCAGAAAGACACAGGTTTAGGGGACTCGGGGCTGCGCCTCTCAGCAGACGGCTCCGCTGGGAATGAGCACTCGGGTTAGTGACGATGATGATGAGGGTATTACACACGTACCACAGCGAATGAGGGCGCGTGAGGCCACACAGGGCGGGGCAGGCGTTCAGCGCGGGGTGAGGCGGTCAGCCTGCCAGCACATGCGTGTCCGTCAGAGGCAGCGTCCGGCCGCATGCAAACGAGCTAATCTTCTACGTGGGGTAGCATGCAAGGGCTCTGGGGCCAAACCACACTGCAACACAAGACCTCACAGGCTTCATGGTTTAACAACATTAGCGGGGTACAAGCAACACGCTGGGCACCCCACGGCATGTCACCGGCACTTTCATCAGCCCGCGCTCCAGAGGGTACCCCCAGAAGCTTCTCTCACAGGCCCGCCCAGGCCGGAGTTTTGACTACATTTGTGGATCACAGTTTGCTGACTACACATGTGCTAACCCAGCCATCAGATGCTTTTATTCTTTCGAGTTAGAATGCAGGGGTAATCAGGTTTCTGTTCTCCCTCCCACCCGGATATATCAGGGTGCATACACATCCACACCCAGGAAACTCCCTAACATCCCCCTGAACGCACTCTTCAGTGTGGGGAAACCACAGCCCTCAGAGGGTGTGGGGGTTTGAGCCAAATTCTACACCAGCCTAGTGGCACAAAGATGATGGATGGAGGGAGCGATGCGCCAGGCCCTCCCACCAGCGTCTTTCACCCACGGAGCTCCACAGGGGGCACTGTTATTATGACCTAAGACCCAAGGTCCAGTGCAATTAAGCAACTTTCCAAAGGCCCCGCTGCCAGCCTCAGAGCCACGCCCCTAACCATGTCACCCCACTGCTTTTCTAGACCTAACCTCAGACCTCAGAGCTGGGCCTGGACGCCGGGCAGGAGGGTCCTGTTTCCCAGGGACCAGCATTCTCACTGGCCAGCTTCTGATGAGCCTTGTGAAATGGAAACAATTCATATAAAATGCAGCGTTGCTTTCTTTTAAAACAGTCACATATCCACACTCCAACCCAAGTTCCATGCTTGCTCTCATAGTTTTTCCAAACACCCCAAGTTGTTATTTTGGAAGGCATGGTAACAAAATAAACAGAACCTGAAAGTGCCAAGTACAAGATAATTTCATGATCCCTTTGAGCCCCACTTTAGTTTATACCCAAATAGCTTCCAATGGATGATCCATTCTTTCCCTCTCTAAACCCACCCAACACTGAAAAAAAATTTTATAGTTATAAACCCAGACATTTTCTTCAATATCACATTCCATTTTCTTATCTATTTTATATTCCTTTCCTTTTTCGTGCCCATGTCCTGATTCCCAGCTGCCCACTCCCACCAGGAGCTGGGTCCCATCTGCCTGTTCCCTGCGCCCTGCCTTCCATGGGAGGTGATGAAAAGTGTTTATTCATGAACCGACTGAGGGGCTACATGAGATTGCTGGCCGGCTGGCTCGGGGCGTGAAGTACAGCACGTCTGTAAGTCTGCTGTTGGGTAAGATGGGGAAGGAAGGAAAGAAGGTAACATGGTTTAATATCTCAACACTGATCTCAACGCTTAGCGAGTGTGGCCGCAGAGGCCTTGACAAGGATGGCTGTTGCCCAACGTGCAGTCCGGCGTGAGAGCAGCTTTGCTGAGGTGAGAGGCATCAGCTCAAACCCTTCCAGCTCCGCAGCCCCTGGATGTGGGTCCCCAGCAAGCCCCAGGCTTTCTATTCTCAGGGCTCAGCTGGGCTTCTGGCAGCCCCTTCACCCTCCACCCAAGACACTTATGCAGAAAGTCACCGTTTACCTGCCGTTGTCACCACACTCTTCAAGCACTCTTTAAGTCCTGGCACACGGAATGGGGATGTCTCTCCACTGGCTCCTCCTCTGAGCCACGGCTCATGGGCGAGGAGCCACGGCTCATGGGCAAGGCTGCCGGGGAAGGTCTCCACAGTCCTGCCCAGGTGGCGCGACACCAGCCCAGGCTAGATGCCGGGAGGGAAGTTCAGTCCTCACTGACAAAGGGTGTTTGTTAGGCGTGAGTCCCTCACGGAACCCGACAGGGAGCCAGCCACTCACAGGTGAATTACGCAAGACGGCGGCCACGGTCAGAACCCAAGGAGCCCAAAGAATGAACCACAGGCTTGTAAAACTAGAAACATTCTTTATTTCAATTACATTATAACATGTTTGCCTCAAACTATATTGAGGTTGTGGTCTTTCTGGGACACAATTATACTTGTAACAGGAAGATGAACTCATACACTCCCATACAGTGTAACCCACACACAGTGCTCATTCCCTGTGATTTTAATAGTTTATAGTTATTTCTCAATTCAACTTTACAATTGTTTTTAAAAATGCTTCTTTATATATGAAATACATGTTTTGTTCAGGAAGATCGGAACAAGAGTTTTCCGGTAAGACTATACGGAGACACAACAGATGCAAACATTTATAGCAAAATACCCAGAGTGGTTCAGCTACTGAAAATATCCTTTTTTACTCTAACCATCAGTTTGCACAAGAACAGTACCCTTTCCTATTGCGCTTTTGAAAGACGATTAGACAAATAGAGAAGTCATTTTAAGGTTAAAATAATAAATTTTAGAAATGATCCTCCCTACCCTAAGACTGTGTAGGAAATACAACTTCAGCATACATCTCTTTCAGAAAAAAATTTTTAAAAATCTTTGTATAAAATGACTTTGGTACACAATTGGCATGAAGTGAAGTCAAAATCTATAAAATAAGTTCAGGTATGAACATCGAGGTCCAAAGCATTGGCTGAGATAAAATCCTATATGAGGTAAAGGCATGTAAAGGCTCCCAGTACTTGATCCCTAAAATGATGAGCTATTGTCCTAAGGTGCGAATCATATCACTCGGTGACCTACTTGCTGTTTGGCCATTTATCTCCTTTTTAAATAAAATACCGTGCAGGTTATCATGTACATATCAGAAGGAAACATGAAAGCACATATATTTGAATGAGACAAATGAGTTTACTTATGGTGTGGAAGCCTCAGAATGCTATGTGGTCATTTTAAATAAATGCTGATCTACCTGGTCAAGAATATCCACATTCATATGGGCCTAAGGCAGGCATGAACTGTGTTTATTTTTATTTTAAGCAGAAGTATAAACAGTGTATACACTATTGTTTGATACTACTGGAATGCTCTTGGCTAGAACTTATACTGGTAACAAATGTATCTTTCTAATCTGGGTGATAACAAAATATAAATCTACAAGTAACAGTCTATAACTTAGAGTAGCAGATAAAGTGTTGGCTGATTGTCACATGTGCGTCTGTCTCCATCTAGGACATCTCCCGGGTCTCACAGCGGAGGGAATGGACAGGAGCCTGCCGCTTGGACTAGCAGTGCCATCGGGCCCCTCTGACCCCGCCCGACCAGACGGCCTCGGCCTACGACAGGCTGCAGTCTTCTTTGCTTTTGTCCCCGCTTCTACCCCTCGCCTCCTCTCTGCTCTCTGGATGGACGTCCTCCACCTCTCCTGCTGGTGCCAAGTCATCGTCTTCTAGACTAATGCTCTCCAAGCCCTCCCTGCCTCCCTGCCGTGTGTGTTCTGACCTCACACCCTCTGCGCGGGAGGCGGCGTTCGTGTCCTCGGAGGGACTTGCATTTCCGAGCAGGGCGCCCTCCTTCTCCGGAGGGCGGCTGGGGGCGGCGGCTCCCTCAGCGTCGGCCTCCAGAGCCCCTTCCTCTGAGCCCCTGGCACTGGAGCCTGAGGCCTGGGTGGCAGCACCGTCCAAGGGGACCGGTCCTCCCTCAGCCCCTCCGGCCCCGGCGTTTACGTGGCCATCTTCCTGGCTAAGCTTTCCGTCCAACCCCACTTCGGGACCCCCAGGCCAGCCGGGGTGCCCGCTGCCGCCTGCCGCTGCGTCCTGTTCTGGGGTCCCCGTGGCCTCACGGTGCGCCCCCGCGCCTGGGTTTTCCTCGGCGGGTTCCACCTGCTCTTCTTCCGTAACTCCGCTGAGCCCTGGGCTCTGGGGCGCCAGCTCCTCCCTAACACCCTTTGGGGTTTCTCCAGGTGACTTTTTCCTTTTGTTTTTCCTTTTCTTGTTTTTTGTCTTCTTCGGAGACGAATCCAGACCCTCTGCCGGCTGGCTGCTCTTCTCCCCACTGGGTTCTTTCCCACCGAGGGGTCCGCTCTTGGCACCTGCCCTTCCTGCGCCCGCTGCTTCCTGGGCGCTGGCTGCGGGGTGGGTGGGACTGGGCAGGTCTTCCATCTGGGCCAGGTTCTCGTTCCCGCACCCCCTCCCCTCGTCCTCTTGGTCGCTGACCTCCCCCCCGACTCCTGTGCCCTGAACCAGGGGCACCTCCCCGGGCTCAGCAACATCCTGGTCGGTGAGCTCCTTCTCTAGACCACGCCCTGCACTTGGATCCAGCTCTTTGGGGACGTCTATTGCACCTCTGTCACCATGGCTCCCTGTGTCATTGCTACACCTCGGAGGACCTGAGGCCGCTGCGCCCACGTGCTCCCCCAGTCCAGTGAGCCCTGCCTCCTCCGTGCCCTGGGAGCTGCCCACCTCTTCAACTCCAGCGGTTTGCACAGGAGCAGATTCCTGATGCGGTTTTGTGCTAACCCCTCCCGAATTGGTCTTGGAGTCTTGCTCTCCCGGTTCCTGTTTTTCCACAGCTTCGTCACATTGGCTGTCGGTGTCCACGGCATTCTGGCTGCCCTGCCCAGTCACAGGACCCAGGATCCCGCCACCCGGCTCACAGGGACATTCAGACGGCTCAAGGGGAGCCCCGGTCCTAGCATCTGGGGCACCTGTGACCTCGCCAGACCCCACCTGCTCTGTGTGCTCAAGGTAGGACATGCTCTCGAGAACTGGGCTTTGAACCTGCGCCTCACTGGCAGCTAACATTCCTGGGGAGGGGGCTCTGTCTTCAGAGGGTTTCGGGTCCTCGGCACTGTCAGCAGGATGCAAGGCCTCCGCGTCCACGCACTTCTCCACGGGGCCCTCTCTGTGCTGTTTTTCCTCAGTATTCTGCAAGATTTCTCTTTTCCCCACATTTTCCACAATTTCATTTTTCACCTTCACTGCAGTGGCTTTTCCTAAAAGACCATTGAGAAAATTGAAGGGACCCCATGATGTGACCACTTAGTAGACCCAACAAGGTAAACACAAGTTCTCATCCCCACCCGGCCCCACTACTAAAGAGAGAGAGAGAGAGAGAGAGAGAGAGAGAGAGAGAGAGAGAGAGAGAGAGAGTGTCAGCACAGAGCCACCCGGACTGGAAGCTCTGCCAGCTTTGTGCCACGAAGCAGCCACCACATCTGCCAACAGCCACGGCCACGGCCATCACCAGGGTGAGTGGCTGCGGGTGCCATCGTGTGTGAGCTGGTTGTCAAAGGTGAAGTTAAGTCTTAACAACAAGAGAGAGCTCTGGATCAGGCAGCCGAACAGCCCAAAATGATGGGGTTTAAGAGGGACTTCAGGCTGGTGTTCCCCACGCTCGCTCCCCAGTGCACATCCGACAGCTCACACTGTCAGCCGTCAAACTACACTGCGGATCACGCAGCCCTGAAGGCTGCTTTCCAATCATTTATAAAAGAAACATTCAGTTTAGCTTAAGGAACTCAGTCTCAAGATCAATGTCAGGAAAGATACTTTTGCAATAACTCAGACAAGGTAGAAAGAAACCCACCCTCCTCCACCCAAACGCTGTCTCCTGAAAAAGCGGCCTGTGCCCTAAATGCCTTCGCTCCACTCCCTACCGGATGGGGCGTCCCTGCGGTGACCACTTAACTGAATAATAAATGACTCATCAATTAAAAAGTTACAAATTAACAGACGTGTCACTGCTTTGGAATGAAGTTATAGTCTGGATTCTTCAAACAAATGAAACTGCAGCATAGATACCGAGTCACTGAAGGTGACCCAGAGGTCTCCACCGGGGGTGCACCAACCCCAGAAAACGAGGGAAGTAGTGGGACTTCCACTTAGGATTAGTTTTGTTTCACCCTTTAGACGTTTCTATGAGTGCCTGTTTCATAATGTACATTGTATACTAATGAAATATTATACACATATAAATTAAAAATAAACATACACCTTGGGAAGTCCCCACAATCCTTTACTGAAAGTGATTAAAAAACATTTAGAGACCACTGACCAAACTGGTATTTCTGGCTTGTTAAGTGCCTGTTTCCAGCGATTATCAAGGATTTGCAAAATGTGTGTTTGAGCAAGAGTAGCAGCTCCAATTCTTAGCTGCTCACCAGCTAGAGCAAAGGCGTGAGGGACATTAACCAATTACCCGCTTTCAGCAACTAGCACATGGTGAAAAGAGCTTTGTTCCTTCTGTAGTCACAGGGACAGAGAGGTGCCCTGGGGAACAAGCCCCAAAGCTCCTGCATTTCCAAAATAAAGAGAAATAAGATGGAAGCCTCCAAATGGAAGCGAGTCACGGCCTGACCTCCCTCTGGCCTCCCTGTGAAGCTGAGACACCAGGTGACCAGGGACCAGGAGGCACACACAGGGGCAGCTTCAGGCTGCACGGCCCCAGGCCAAATATCACGACAGAGATGAATCAGTGGGCCTTTCAGGTATTCCTACAGTCCACTGGAATCCCGGCTTAGAGTCTTTCAGAAGCAAAACTGTGGCAGAATGGAAATATTACCTCTGACAAAGGGACAGCTATATCCAACTCTCGCTGTAAAGGATGTCCTCTGTCTACACTGGCCACAGAGTGCCGCCTGTCCCTCTCCCTCATCACCAGGGCTGCCTGTCTCTCCCCCTGGCCGCCAGGGCCACCTGTCCCCCCTGAAGTGCTACACTGACAATGGTAACTGAGATGTCCTCTGTCACGGCCTCAGCCTCCACCTGTTCCCACAGGCAGCCCCTTGCCCCAGAGCGTCTCACAGGACGTGCCATGTGGTTTGCAAACGTGGTTCCCAGCCTCTGCTATCTGACCGTGGACAACCTGTACCCGAGTAAGTTAAAAGCCACACCGGGCACGTATCTGAGGAAACCAAGCAGCACTGTCAAAGCTGTCACTCAATTTGGAGACTGCCTTCCCTGCATTCGCAGTCTCACGTGGCACCTCTGAGAAGCAAGAGAAACGTGACCTCAGCCATGGGGGTGAGCACTGATTGGAGGCGACGCCAGACAACACCCATGGTGACCACACCATGCGGCAGGACCCATGAGGAGACAGGACAGGTGGCATGCGGCGTGACTGTTAATGGCCAGTGATGACTGCGCCCGCTCTAACACACAGGGAGGTGAGTCAGTGCCGACCACAGGTGACAGGGTCCCAGGGAGAACCGGGACTTACCCAGGGTCCCGTCCCCCGTTGCCTTGAGGGTGTTTAACTCCTCTTTTGTCATCTTGGTAGAACCTTGGCATCCGACGTTATTGAGAGTGTCTGAAGTCTCCCCATTGGTGGCTGTTTCTGAATTTAGGATTATTCCGTGTTTCTGGAACAAAAATAGGCTCATCGTAACACTCGCTGCATGATGTCTGGTTAAACTCTGTTTTATTTGTAATAATTAAAAAGAAGCTAATTTCCCCGAAGTCGAGGAAAATTACAGAGTCAAGAAGAGCTGGGTGCCACCCTCGTGACTGTTCTGTGGACACACACCGGGCAGCTCCTGCGAGGGCTCGACCCTCCGCAGGCTCCCACCCGTGTCCTGATGCGCTGGTGACCGGGACCCTCAGCAGGAGCCCTTTACACTGGGGGTGACGCCCCACGAGAAGCAAGGAGCAAGTCACGGCAAAGTGACCCTGACCTTTAAAACCCCGGCTGCATTCTTCAAAAGAGACACAGAGTAAAAGGAAGAAAGACGTAGGAGTCAGCGGCGGAAACGTAGCCAAGGAGGATTCGGAAGCGGCTACAATGTATTCAGAAGGCGCCGCAGACCCTGGGCTCACTTCACTCATCTCTCTGGTGTCAGCTAGCCCCGGATCTGACAGACCGACAGAGCTACAAGCAGCGACACAAAGGGAGCTGAGGCCGGCGCGGCGCGCACACGCTCACGCACACTCACACGCTCACTCACACGCACGCACACACTCACACACGCACACGCGCACACTCGTTCCTGAGCGTCCCCGACCTCGCGGTGGCCTCGGGATTTCCTTTCGGCACTGTTCTCTGGCTCGTACCTTTAACTCCTCCTTCAGCGCCACCGCTTCCTCTCTGAGGTCGTCGCGCTCGCTCCTGATGGAGTCGAGGAACTCCTTCTGCCTCTCTAAGGCCTAGCGGTGCGGTGAGCGGGAGAGAGGCGTGGTGAGCGGGAGAGAAAGGCACGCGGTGAGCGGGGGAGAGGTGCGCGGTGAGCGGGCGGCTCCACCGGGACGCGCCCACGGTCGCCCGGGCAGCATGGGCTCGCCGCACAAACAAGCTCACGACAGCCGAGAAAGGCCCCCGTCCATGCTCCTGAGAGACGCCACCCATGGAAGGACGGGGGGAAGGGGCCGGGGCGGGGACAGGACTGCATTTGCTTCGGGCTCCAGCATGGTCTGGGTTTCACAGCCGCCAGAGATGTAAGGGAGGCCACGTGCCCTTTAAATGAGGCATAAAGCCCTGGCCGGCTGGCTCAGTGGTTAGAGCATTGGCCTGAGGACTGAAGGGTCCTGGGTTTGATTCCCAGTCAAGGGCATGTACCCCAGTTGCAGACTCGATCCCCAGCCCCAGTTGGGCGCATGTGGGAGGCAATCAATTGGTCTCTGTCGCTGTCTCTCTCTCTCTATGTCTCCATCTGTCTGTCTGTCTCTCTCTCTCTCTGTCTCTGTCTCTCTCTGTCTCTCTATCTGTCTCTCTCTGTCTCTCTGTCACTCTGTCTCTCTGTCTCTGTCTCTGTTTCTCTGTCTCTGTCTCTCTGTCTCTGTCTCTCTCTGTCTCTCTATCTGTCTCTGTCTCTATCTCTCTGTCTCTGTCACTCTGTCTCTCTCTCTGTCTCTCTCTGTCTCTCCCTCCCTTCCACTCTCTCTGAAAAGCAATAGAAAAAACACCCCTGGGTGAGGATTAAAAAAAGAGGCACAAGAAGCGCTGAGGAATCCCAGTGACAAGCACAGGGTGTCCCCAAAACGCACACACACTTTAGCAGCTGACAACTCACTTAGTTTTCACTCCTTTCAGGTTTAACTGAGCTGAAATAGTGGGTGAAGCCAGACTAAGCTCTGAACAAAGGAAATTCATCCTAAAGGGCCACTAGACTTTTTTTTTTTATGGGGACATATAAAAGCTAAAGTTTACGGTACAAAACCGGCAACAGCAGATGCATTGAGGGCACACAAGCACCCAACGAAATGGTCCTTGACATTTGCGATTCCATCGCTTCCCGCTATCAGCAGGGCCTGGGCCTGAACAGCCATCGGTTTGAAAAGAGGCGTTGACAAAAAAAAAAAAAATTATTCATGCATGTCTGTAGATTCTTTTAAATTTTGAAAATGAGCTGTGTGTTAATAAACACTGACTTTATAATCATTCAAAGTGTGTATACGTTTTTGGGGACACCCTGTATCTTAGCAATTTAGACTATTTTTGTACGTGGATTCCCAGCAACTGTGGGCAGAGACAAACACACGCATGCACACACGTGCACAAGCACAGGCCCCGAGTACGTGCGGCCGAGCCATGAGTGGAGACGTGTAAATGCTCTGATGACGCTCGAGCACCTGGGGACTGTCGCCAGAGCTCCGTGGTCTGAAAGGCCGCCACGTTCTGGGAGCCAGTGTCAGGAAGCACAGCAGGTAGGGTGAGGGTTCCCTTTCTCCCCCCATCACACCTACGGGCAGGTGGCTGCCTGCTCTGTCCTTGGGGAGGGAGAGGGTCTGAGAACCTCTGGGGAGATTTCAAGCTGGGGCTACGTGGGGCACAGCACCTGCCACCTCGCAGCTGCCTCAAACCCCTCGAGAAAAAGCCCCGGCGGGACGGGCAGGGAAATGTGCACATCAGAGCTGCCCGAGGTCCCTCTCCTGGAGAGGCTGCCAGTCCCTGGCCGCTCGGGGCAGCAGAGCCCGGCTCATCCTGCCAACGCCACTCTCCACGCGGAAGCCCGTTTCCAGTTTGGGGCTACTATCAATTGGGGTGAGCTCGAGTTTTCGCCGCATGACTGAGCTTGCGTCCCACGGGGCTGCATGCGTACCCCTCCACGCGCACACCAAGGATCCCGCAACAACATGCTGGCCAGGCACACGGCCCGTTGGAACAGATTTTCAAAGACCGGAGAGCCTACCCCTATCTTTTTGTCTTTCCACTCTATCGTTTCCTGAAGGTCAGAAATCTCCCTGATATAACTCGCCTGCTTCTGCTGCAACTGTCGGATTTCCTGAGGGACAGGAACAGATAAGAAGAGAGCAGATAAGGTTAGACAGGAGAGAGCCCAGCGCAGACCTGCGGAGAGGAGGGTGTCCCGCAGCCGGGCACAGGGAGGCGAAGCCCCTTCCCACTGATCCCCGCTCACTCTCGGAGGCCACACCTTCCCCGGGCCCTGCTCCCAGAGTCCCAAAGTGCAGGAAGAAACCCGTGGGGGGGTTCGGAATGAGGCACTGAAGTTCTGACCAAGTTAAAAAGGTGAACATCAACCCTGGATGGTTCCTGTGGCCACTGTAACAAAGTAGCTGTAACCACTCAGTGGCTTCAAATGTATTGGAACCGGGCTGCAGCTCAGAGCCCAAATGAGTCTCCCCGGCTGAGAGCAGGGGTGGGCCAGGCTGGGATCTTTCCAGGAGGCTCCAGGGGAGAATCCATTCCCCCCCTCCTTTTAGCTTTCAGAGGCGCTAATTCCTCGGCTCAGGGCCCCTCCTCACGTCGCTCTGACATCTGCTTCCACTGTCACATCCCCGACTTCTGCCTTTGACTTTCCCGCCTCCCCGCTGTAAGGGCCCCGTAACAGACCAGGCCTCCCCGGAAACCCTAGGATAACTCCCATCACGAGGTCCCCTCTGCAGTGGAAGGTGCTATTTTCACAGGTCCCAGGATTAGGATGCAGACATTATTCCATCTGCCCACCTCCCCAAACTAATACACAACTGCCCGAGAATGGGAATCTTCACCACTGAAAGGAACAGGACTCCTTAAGCGAGGCTCGGAGAATGAGCCCAAGCCCTTAATTTTCCAGAAAACACGCGACTTTAGTAATGAACCAACAAAAGGCTCCTGAGTCACAAAAGAAAAGGAGGAATGAGGGGCAGCTACCCACCTGGAACACCTCCTCACCTCCTCCCTCTGGGGAGCGGCTACCCCCCTGGAGCACCTCCTCCCTCTGGGGAGCAGCTACCCCCCTGGAGCACCTCCTCCCTCTGGGGGGCAGCTACCCACCTGGAGCATCTCCTCCCTCTGCTGCAGGGCGGCTTTCACCTCCGCGAACTGGAACTGCAGCAGGCTGTGTGCGTGCTTCTCCCGCTCAAATTCCTGTGGACCAACAGGGAGCAGGGCATCAGGTGGGGGGATCGTGTTTTCCCACTGTTCAAGGTCATGCTCCCATGATTTACCTCTGCCTCCGAGCGAATGACCTATGACCCTGTCAGCGCAGCATCCGAGGCCTTTTTAACACTAGAACACATTTCCCTGCACTTTCTAGAAGACGCCCTGTGGTTTACTATAAAATTAGAGGAGTTGATGGAGCTGACAGTGTTTCCTGGTTCCTCTCTAGGTGGGCGATGCCCCAGGAAGGGTCCCCATCAGGGTGTCTGCTGTGTCCACTGAGCCAAGTGAGGATGTAGCTTTGCAAAGGATTTAGACTAAAATTATCCCTGATTCTGAAATATGACAAGGAATCACGAGACTGGTCTGCTGTCGTTAACTTGGACATACGCCCGTGCTGTGTGCGGATGTCCTAACTAACATGCTAACTCCAGCGCTTTTCAACAGAAGCCCAAATGAGACTCTCCTCTCCTCTGAGCTTAATGGAGACATTTAATTCTTAAATTGAGTGATTGTGTCTCTTCCCAATCAGCAGAACATGAATGAATATAATTTTCTTAAAGTCTGTGATCCTTGCAACGATTTCTCTATGGTGTTAGAGACGACAAAATGAAAACCAGGAAACGTGCATGAACAGGAAGATCTGGAGGACCCGACACGCCTTACCCAGCACGCTGGTTCCCTCGTAGGCACATGTCCCACTAAGACCACCTCTAGTTTACCTATTGCAATTTGCATGTCAATATTTCAAGTCCCTCAGCAAAGAGCATGGTGTTCTCAGATGTCTGGGCTTCCTAGGCAGGTGGAGAATCGTTGTTTAACCACACACGCACACGCACACACACGCACACCGCACACATGGACACACACGCACGCACACACACACACATGCACACGCACGCACTGCCTGGCCAGTGTGGCTCAGTGGTTGAGCGTTGACCCACAAACCAGGAGGTCACTGGTTGGATTCCTGGTGAGGGCACACGCCCGGGTTGCGGGCTCGATCTCCAGTAGGGGGCGTGCAGGAGGCAGCCGATCTGATTCTCTCTCATTGATGTTTCTTTCCCTCTCCCTTCCTCTCTCTCTCTCTAATAAAATAAATAAATAAATAAAAAGAAAAACACACACATGCATTGAAAACTAAAAAAAAAAATAAAATTATTAAAAATAAAATAAAAGCTCAGACCTTCACAGAACCCGGGAACCCCACCGCCACAGCCCACATCCGCCCGCGCCCCGCCCCGCTGAGGCTCGCCTTGCTCTTCTCCTCGCACTGCCGCCGGGCCTCGGCCAGCTGCTCCTCGAGCTCCAGCAGCGCGTCTTTGAGGGTGTCCACCTGGTACATGTAGTTCATCTTCTCATTGTCCAGCTGGGCGTTGGACACCATCGCCTTCTTGTACTTCTCCTCCGCCTCCGCCAGCGAGTCCTGGAGACCGGGCCGCGGCGCGGAAATTGCGGTAAGAAAGTGAATGCGAGGCCTCGCTCGGCGCTCCCCAAACCCGACAACCCGGCCCCGAACTTAGGCTTCGTTCCTCAGAGCACAGGAATCAAAACAGGAGACGGGCAATTTCAAACACGCAGAAATTCCTCCTTCTCAATGTGATCAAATTCTCGTCCCTCCGAAAGTTAGCTATTAACCGTGCCCGGGGATGGACGTGATTTACAGTCATGGGACATGGGCGACACCGATGGGAAAGGGCTGGTCACAGGACTCGAGTCCTGACTCCGTGAGTCAGGAGCCGCTCGTAGTGGGTTAGGCTGTTAGACAGGTTTCTGAAGGGATCACTCAAGGTATGCGGCCGGAACTGGGGACAGGCCCGTGTGACGGCCCAGAGAAGCAAACCCTTGTCACCAGCTGCCAGGGATCCCTGTCTGGGCCTATGAACCAGGAAAGGATGAAGCGGGATTTCAGATTCTCAACCTGCAGGAAAATTGAACAAGGTGCACAGGCCTCCATGGGTGGGCCTGCTTGGGCAGGTGTCCCGGGTGCAACTGGGAGCCTTCCAGGGACCAGTGCTGGTCTCGCCTGCACTGGTGGGCAATGGTTTTGGGTGGGACCAGGGATTCCTGGGCAGCCTCACTGGCTCCTTTTTCATAGGAGTTAAAAGCCAGGATCTTAATTTTTCCTCTTTTTAAAAAGAGGTGACAAATATGAAAGCGATTAGCCATGCGATTTGTCACCTGCCGCGGTGCCCCTCTGATACTAAACTCAGACTACTTGGGGGCAGACTTTCTGGGGAGCTGGGGGAAGTGACCGGTGTACCATCGACTGCTAGAGCGTGGTCTGCCACAGCTGCCAAGAAAGACAGGGCACAGCCCGACTGTCCCCCTCACCGTCACAGAATGGCAGCTAAGTGTCCTGGTCGGCACAGCGCAGTGACTCCACACCCTCAGAGTGGGGAGTGTTTATTCAAATAAACCCAACACCAGGTGCATTCAGACACTGCTCTAGTCGCTACAATGTTGCAACATGCAATAACTAGAAGCCTGGCGGTGGGGCTGCCTTACGGCTGACGGCAGACATCTGGAGATGCAGGTGGCGTGAGGCACTGGCTGGATGGAACTGCCATGGACAGCAAAGAAAACCAAAAACCCTTATTCAGCCTGGCAGCTCCTGGTTTTCAGCCGGGGGAGGGAGGCTGCGGGAGGTCGGACGTGCATCGGGAAATGTGTTAGTAGCTTTTTCTCTCGATTCGAAGGCTGCACCGTGACACGCGCCTGCACACACGCCACGCGCGCACGCCACGCACGCAGCTCTCCCCGGCTGGAGCCTGGGGCGTCCGCAGGGTTAGCACGCACCCCAAACGCCTTCGTTAGGGTTTCTCGGTTAGGCTGGGTTAATGTGGCGAGCCCACGCTCCGTGCACCGGTACCTTCATCTCTTTGAGCCCCTGCATGTATTTGCCTTCCACATCCTGAATCTGGTCCTTTAACTCACTGAGCTCCTGGGGGTGGCAAGAAAGGGAGGTGATGTCGAGGGAGAAGGGGACAAGGCCACCAAGGCAGAGGCGGGTCTCGGGATCGCCCCGCTTCTGCAGGGCCTCCCTTAACGGCCTGAGCAGTGACTTCCTTCCTCTTATTTTAAGTGTTAGAGAAAAATAAATGTCCATGTTACAAAGATTAACATTTAGGTGTATCTCATGATATTTTCAAGATTTTGTAAAATTGAGGTGCCTCTCATGATATTTTTGCACAGTTTTATAAAACAGGCAAGAGAGCTGCGGGAAATGAAACAAGAAGTATGACTTGTGCTAAGGGTTCATTCGAGCTCCTCGTGCGCCCTGCACCCCGGATCCCGGAGCTCCCGGGCCCCTCTGCTCGTCCCCTTCACCGCCACAGCCCTGGCGCCTGCAGGAGCCAGATGCTCCATAAACAAATGATGCTGAACGAAGGAACGGAGCTCACAGCCTAGGAGCAGAGGCAGGTCCGACTGCAGCACACGGCAAATGCTACATCGATGGGGTTCAGGGACGCACAGAGCTGCAGCCGGCCCAGGGACGGCATGCGGCCGTTTTAGGAGGAGCAGTTAAACATTGTTCTTATAACGCGCGGGCGTCGGGAGGCGCCTTCCAGGGAACCTGGCCCACCCCCTGATGCTCAAATCTCTTCTCTCGCCTCCCTGCAGTTCCGACGGCGCCCTTGGCAGCTGCTTCTGTGCTGACCAGTTTTAATAATTAGAAAGAGCTTCTGTGGATGAAGCCGAATTTGATGCCCAAAGCTCCTCCCTCTGCTCTCCGGGGGCCACGCCTTCTAGAATCTTAACCTTCCCTTTGCCTGGCCTCCTCCGGACGCAGGTACTTGAGCAACAGCACTGCTTTTCTGTCTCAGCCAGTGTCGAGGATCCCACAGAATAACATCCACATTCCAGGGAGAAGGCAAACCCACCCAGACGCCCGGTGAGGCCCACTGAGCGTGAGGACAGAGGGAGCGAAGGACAGATGTGTGCAGAGGACAGGCGGACAGAGTGGCCCAGCACCTCCATGTGGCATGGTGAGTGCTGGTGCAGGTGTGTCCCAGGGCTGAGGGGGCACGGGGTGTGGGTGCAGGTGTGTCTCAGAACTGAGGGGGCACAGGGCCCACGGGCAGGGCAATCAGGGAAGCCTTCCTGGGGGAGACCACATCTGAGCTGGGTCTTGGTGTTACTAGAACGCCTGTTTGTGGGAGGCAGGGGAGATGGTACCGAGAAGAAAGATCTGGCACTTTAGGAATTAAATCTTTCTTTTTCCTTGAAGATGGGTTTTAATAAAGGGTCATAAGTAGGTAGAGAGCCTTACCTTGATTTCCCTAATGGATGCCTCGGTGTCAACGGAGACGGAGGTGTCCCCACTTCCCCTCCGGGAGGAGGTGCCGCCCAACGAGGCCAGTGTGGCTGCCGACAGGCCGGGCAGGTTTCGCGGCCCCTAGAGTGTGGCAGGGATCAAACGCAATTTTAGACAAAACCAAAGCTACCTGCACGTCTGCTATGATGGCCCCTTCCCTCGAATTCAGTTTCCCACCGGGAGCATCTCCCGTGGGCTTGCGGAAAACACTAAAGACAGGCTCACAGTGAGGGCCCGTGGGTGCTGGGGAACCTGCCTGGATTCACCTCCCGCCCCACGGCCGGGCCGCGGTCAACTCCTTCGCACACACCGGGAGTGACCCCGGGGACCCCCCGCAGGCTGTGAGGTTGGTTAGCGGCCACGCAGGGTCCTGTTCACTCCCTGGGGAAGGTCTTTATTAAACATCAAGCAACACATTTTTTTTTTTGTTCGTTTTGCCCATAAATTCTGGGACCCACTGGGTTCACCAATGACATAGCTTAAAGGTGGAAATTCCTCACCTTCTCGGCGAAATCCTTCTCTGGTCTCTCTTCAACCTGGAGAGGAAAACACACAAATGTGAAATGTGAGCACTGACTGGAGAATCGGGGGGCGGGGCGGGGTGGTGCTGAGACGACGCCACAGCTGCCGTTGGAGTTTAAAAACCTCTTTGCCCCCGAGACCCTCTGATACGCCTGTGCCAGGCGGTGGGGACGCAGATGGCCCGCCCACAGCGGCTTAGAGAGCCCGCTGACGGCCACCGGCCACCAGCCACTGGCCACCGTGAGGCTCCACAACCTTTACAGTTTCCACAGGAACCGAGCGACGTCGGAGCGAGACGCGGACGGCAGACGGGAGCACCTCGAGGAACCTGCTCGCAGGCCGACTTTCAGGTTCCTGCGTGCTGGGCAGTGTCTCCACGTGGGAGGGGGCCACACCCCACACCTGTCTACCCTCCCCTGGATCAGACGGCGAGGACGCCACGGGGCCTGGGGGCTGGAGGTGTGACCGCAGGCGTTCATTTCCACCCTCACGGAGCTGGCCTCCGAGGCGGGAGAAAGCGGCGAGCCAACCGTAACCTTCCTACTTCCCACGAGTGACTGAGCACGCGCACCTTCGGGTTCAAACACCCGGGGATGGGCGCCGGAGGGGGCGCTGGGGGCTGAAGGTACAGGGGACCTTGCCGGGTGAGAAGCGGGACCCCAAGCATCTGGCTTTTCTCATCTTTGCTGTTTGGACGTGTCTCTGAGGCATGTCGCAGCCTCGGTGGGACCGGAGCAGACACGAGGCTGCACCAACAGCCACCCAGGGCCAACTCTAGGGGACCCCAGGACTGGGTGGCGCTGGCAGTGGCCCTACTTCTTTCTCTCATCAGTGTCCAAAAACGACGACTTCCTTTCTTTTCCTCCTTTCTCCCTCTTTGGCATGCAGAGGGCTCCTCTCCGGCCGCTGGGAAGGTCGAGGAGGGCGGGATAACCTGCGCTCAGCCGCGCCAAGCTCTCGGGAAACCCCTCGTCACGCTTTCCCCATCGCGCCTCCAACCCGCTCCCGGGAGCTCAGAGCTTCCCCGTGATGCCCAGGTCCACCAGGACACGCCGGCGATGCGCAGCACCCCGAGTGGGTCCGCGGGGCAGCCTCGCCGGGGGCCCGGGGCGCGGGCACCTCTGCACGCTCGCCCCACAGCCGGTCCGGACTGCGGGCTGAGAAACCCCAGCGCGTGAACACGCGACCCGTGACGGGCGGCGTCCAGGGGGCAGCACGCGGGAGCAGGGCAGGTGCTCAGCTCCGGTCAGGACGTTGGGGCCCTGTACAGACGCCACCTCCCGCCTGCGCGCGAGGAGCAGCCGCGGTGGTCACGGGGGGCCAGGACATCAGGGCGGCGACGCCCTGTACAGACGCCACCTCCCGCCTGTGCGCGGAGCAGCTGCGGCGGTGACGCGGGCCCAGCCCGGCTCGGCTCTGCCTCGCTGCACCTGCACCCTACGCGCAGATACTGCGTTTGCGATTCAAACGCGTCGGCTGAGGAAGAACAAAGCCGAAAATCGAAGTTTTCTCTTTAATTAAAAAAAAACTTTCAAAATAGTTTTGAAAAGCCTTTGACCTGAGATATGTAATGGACTCAGAACGTGAAAACAGGGTATGTTTTTACTGGAGGCCACGCAGGGAAAACAAAGCTCTCGAGGGAAGTTACGGCCAATCGACGTTTAACTGTTGTTGCCGATCTCCATCTGAGAGATACTGGAGTGAACGTGTTTTGTCCGCTTTCGAGTGACACGGGACAGGTGCAGCTGCCGACCGTCCTGGGACGCGGGAACCTGGAGCCCCGGGGAAAGCATGAAGCCACTGCAGGGTCCGGGGCTCCCACTAGGTGGCAGCGTGTCCAGCTGCAACCACTTTTAAGGAAGCGCCCCCTCCGTCCCCTAAAAAGAGGAACAGACAGTAACCCAGATGGTGTGTTTAACTTTGACACAAAGCCCAGCACCTTCTCTCTGGAAATAACATACAAAGAAACAAAAGAGATGAACAGTATGGTGGCTGCTGCGTCGTGGTGGGGACAGGAGCCCAGTGAGACCAGGGACGCCCCAGCCACACCAGCGGGACCTCTGTGGACAGCGGCCACACATCTCGCAGCCTACTGCATTTATGAATCATTTTCTGAGCAACACTAAACATCTTAGGTCAGTGGGGCAACTACATAGTAACAAGTTTAGGCAGTACAAAGTGTAACAGTTACAATCTGCCGGGAGGGGTCACTTCCAGAAACTTCTGTGCGATTTTACATTGTGGCAACTCTTCCTCAAAACCAAATACTTAAACTAGCACATGAAATATTTATTAGCTCCAGCCTTCTACCAGCCTGTGAATGGGGGTGCCCTGAAGGCTTGACCACCAGCCTGGCAGGTGTAAAATGCCAGGGTTTCCGCACAGCGTCTGGCCGCCTCCCTCCCTAGAGATAGCACGGCTGTGGGTGTGAGACCCCAGCAGGGGGGCCAGGTACGGAGGACTCTTCCTCATGGTGTCCCCACGCCCAGCCGGCAGCCCCGGACCCCGAATGGGCAACAGGGACACAGAAACAGTGTCACTGCACCATCCCCCTCAAGAAACAAAGGGACAATAGTGGACACTGCTTAGAAAATACCCGTTTTAAGGGCAATTTTCCTTCAAATACACACAGCAGTGGAGTCTACCATGTGGGAGGAAATTTTTGGTTTTAAGTCCAATAATGCTGACATTTCCCTAACTGGCTTGTCCCTGCACTCTTGCATTCATAATTCAAGACCGGTTTTCCACGGGTCCCTGCCCCGCCTTCATACAACATAAAACGCGAGTCACTACAGACTTTGTTTCCCTGGGCCAGACGGGCCAGAGATGCGGCTCCTCCAAGTCCCTCTGAACTCGCAGAGGTGACAAGGAGCTGGGCTGCCCCGGGATGTTCCTGAGGCGGATCCGGGGCCTGGGAGGCACAGGGGGCCTGGCTCCAGCAGGCGAGGCCCCTGCTCAGGTTGGCTCCAAGCCTGGCTGTCAGACCTGATCCAGCTCTCGGAGGCTCCCCGCACCCCTCCCCAGGAGCCCACGATGCCAAGTTTTCTACGGCACGTGCCCGTTTGCTGAGTGTCGTCTCCCCCACTGCGCATCCCCGAGGGCAGGCTCCCCACTGCAGCCTGGTGCTAGAACAGTCTAGGTGCTCACTAAACTGCGGCCGAATGAACGAGCCACAGCTTCTCGGGGGAAGATCCTGGGCTTGGAGGACAGGACAGAGCTCATTTAAGAGCAGGGAAACGAGAACGAAGGCAGACTGTTAACTTTCACGGACAATGACAACGCCCATTCCTAGTAGTTCCAGGGCTTCATTCACACACAGTCGAAGTGTGAAAACTCAGGAGGCAGCCCAGCTGGGCGCGGCTCGCCCTGCAGGTGGGCAGGTGTGCTGACCTCGGTCGGCAGGAATCCAGTTCCAGATACTGCCCTTCGGTCATTTAGCAACATCCGTAAAAAGCACATTTGCCAGATTTTAAAAACAGAAGTTACGTGATATCGAATAGCTGTATCTCACTCCTCCTGCCGGGGGGTGGGGGTGGGGGTGGTGTCCTGACAAGGGATGTGAGCCCGGCCTGGAGGGATGTGCGCCCGGCCCGGAGGGATGAGCACCTGGCTTTAACCAAGTTCAGAACCACAGTCGACCATGATGGAAGATGGGAGAAAAGATACCGACGCTGCCCAGCTTGGCTTTCCCCAGCCCAGGGTTCATCAAGGATGCGCTGCGGGCCGGTGTGGCCCTGTTCCTGCCCACTCAACGCCCCCTCCCCTGGTCACTGCCAGTCCCCCGCCCCCAGGTGGCCCTGGGGCAAAACTTCCCTGCAAACCCCTTCTTGCTCAGAGGTTGCGTAGCAGCCTCGTACAAAGCACCCGATGAGGTGACGCTGCCTAATAGTCCAAAGACTCTGGAAACACGTAATAAGGAGACTCGAAGGACAGGGCCTGGATGGTAGGGTCATCCACGCCGAGTGACCAACAGGAGTGCAGCCTGAGGCCTCACACACTGAAGAAGCTGAGAGTCTGGGGCTGGTGGGTGAGCAGGAGGGGTGCCAGGGCACCCACGGGCCCGCACCTCCTTTTTAAAACCACCAGGTCGAATAACAAGTCCAACAAAATGGTAAAAGTTCAATCCTTCAATTTTTAAATCATAAAACAACACGCCGACGCACATGTACACTCCCCCCACTGTCCCAAGTCCCCTCCTCCCAGCAAGACCCCCTCTCCCAGCTCCGTCAACAGCCCCTTCCGTACACGGCCCTTTAGAAACTGCGATGCAAACCCCGTGTCACTGAACGGTGATGCTCTAAATCGAGCAGCCTTTTCCCCCCCGCTGTGTTTGCACTTAGACCCAACAGGTCAGGGAGCAGCCTGGCCCCCCCCTCCCGCGCCCAGGCTTGTGGAGGGGGGCGGGGGACAGACAGGTGAGGGAGGGCAGAAGGCAGCGGACAGACAGGCTCACTCACCACTGGGCTGGCCCGCGCCGAGCTGGCTCTGGAGGAGGCGCGGGAGCTGGAGTTGAGGTGGCCGCTGTGCTCCGAGGGCTGTCGCACAGCCCGGGGCCGCAGGCAGACAGAGAGAGAGGGACAGAGTTAGCAGAGAGGCACCAAGGATGGGGGCCCCGCTGGCTGAGAGGCCAGCCCCGCAGCGCAGAGGAGAGGGGTCCGTGGGCACGGAGCGCGGGCCTCCCGGGGAAGCGAACGCCCGCTGAGGATGGAAAGCGTTAATCATCACAGCAGAACACGGATGCTCGGTTAGTACGGAGAAAGGGACACAAAGTGACACAAAGCGCCCGCTGAACGGGGTGTGGAGTCACGCCTGCGGGGGCACAGAGAGCGGGCCCGCCGCTGCCCCCCAGCCCCGCAGAGCGTGGCGAGCGGGCGGGCCTGGCGCTGGGCCGAGGAGACCCGCACTTCTCACTGTCTTCCAAGCGAGAGCGCAATAGGAGGCAGCGTCCAGGCCGCAGCCGGGCGTGGCTCCTAGGCCTGCGCAGACATCCTCCGTCTGTCTGTCCCCCTGTGTAACGCCTCTCTCCCGGGAAAGGAAACACAGTAACCGATTTATCTGGAAGCCGCACCTTCTTAACTTTGTATCCATGTTTCTCCTCATTCTGGATACATTTTGTATTTTCTTGTTTTCTAAAAAGCCTTACTTTCCCCCTGAGCAAGGCAG